GCACAGGCAGGCAGGACACTTACACTCCTTTGCAAGGCTGGAGTAAAGCATCCACCACAGCGTAGCCAATGCTGCTGGAACCAGCTCATCCATCTACTCAACTCCACAGCAAGCAGAAGCTAAGCCTTAATAGCTCAGGGTCAAATCACCTGGCTTAGGTCCACTTCCATGGGATAGTAGCAGCTATACAGAATACAGGAGATCAGCTGATGCAGACTCACAAATAGTGAACTGTTCCCTCCTTCCAAGCAGTGTCATTGTTTGTCTGTTCACACTCTTAGCGGATCAGTGGCAAAGGCAGAAATAGAACCCAGGGCTCCTGATTTTATGAGGCCTGCTCTAACCCACTTAACTGTGCTGCCCACCCACAACCAGGTGGGCTATGGAAGAGAAAGACTGCAGGCTGTACAGAAGCCTACGGGCTGCTCAACCTACCAGGCTTTGAGACGAATGGGGCCAAACACTGCTCCAAGAGCGCACATGGGCAGGCCGGTCTGAACAGCTTCGAACCACTTCACCACGACCTCACCTAGAGGACACAGGAAAGTAAGTCAGCAGGTGCCAAGCCCCATATTGTATGTGTGACAGAGCAGCCCAGGGGAGGTAGTGGGGTCCCTGGCAGCTACAAACAGCTGAAGCTGCTCTGTCTGGGCAAGGCCTGGCAGTGGGGATGGGCTCTGGAAGGAGGGTTTGAGAATCATTAAGGGGACACCAACAGACCAAGTCACCCTTCTGCATAACACAGGCCACAGCCTATTGCTGTCACAGGACTTGCTGCCCTTCTGTTCCAGGACAGTCTGTCTAGACGCTCCCCACAGGCACTGCCCTTCAGGGGTTACTTGTCTCCAGTGGTGGAATTCCACCATTCTGCTCCCTGCCCAGGACCTGGGCTCTGTGAATCTGCCCTGAGGCAGTGGCTGTGGTAAGCTCCAAGCTGCTGGCCCTGTGTTGCATTACAGCAACACCCAGGTCTTACACAGCACCTTGCATCATCAGAGCTTAAGGTGCTTTGCAAAGAAGATCAGTATTGTCATGCTCATTTTACCAAGGGGGAAACCTAGGCACAGAGCAATGAAGTGACTTGCCAAAGGACACTCAGCAGGGAAGCAGCAGAGCTACAACCAGAACCTGGAGCCCCCGAGTCTAAGCCCTGTGGCTCTCATAGCTTCACAATATCTTATCTGGTGTAAAACAACGAGGATTAAAAGTGTGGGTCAAATAGGGGGTGTCTTGGCCTTCCCCGAGACCCAGGGTCCTGGGGCCTGCAGGCCCCCAGAGCCTCATTCAGCTAACTGCAGGGCTCTGACTTCAGCCTGCCACTTGCTACTCAGCCACATGCTTGTTGGGAGGAACAGATCTGGCCGACTGCCAGCAGGAGTCTAACTCCCCCCACCTTCTCCTTTGACACAGATCCAGCCTGTAATTACTCAGAGCTCCCTTTGACTCACACCCTTCTCCTATGGATCCATTTCATCATCAGCCCTTAACAGCAGCACCTTCTCACCCAGCCACCACCATCTCATCACCCATGCCAGGGCTCAGCAGGGTAAAGGTGACAGGCCCTAGGGGCTGGGGTCTTTGCCTCATCCGTGGCACAGACAGAGCCTGGGCAGTGGCACAGTCCCACAAGCTGCTGTACCAGTGGCTGTGAGCCCTGCCCTGACTGTCAGCCTCAGGCAGTCACTGGCCCACAAAGCAGTCAAACTGCAGCAACAGACTTTGCTATGGGGACACTAGGCCTGAGATCCAGCTGCCTTACTGCACCCAACTAGGTTCTTAGGTGGCATCACCTCTCGGTCTCAGCCAGTCTGGACTCACCCAGCATGTTGGTGGGCATGCCCAGGAGAGTATGCATCAGGTCATGGACTTCCCGGTACCGCTGGATCACGTATGCCAGCTCCTCGTCATCAACAAATTTGGCTGGCATCCTTGTATCTGGAGAAACCCTCTGCAAACAGAACAGCCGGCTGGGAGTCAGTGCCTCTTACTAACACCATAATAATGACAGTCCCCAGCTTAGAGAACGCTCTCTTTAGCAGACTTCAAAGCACAGTACCAACAGGCTCAGTACAGCTGCCCTCATTTCATGCATGGGGAAACTGAGGCACAGAAAGGGGAGGTGTCTACCCAAGGCCATACAGAAGGCCAGTGGCAGAGCTGGGAATAGATCCCAGCTCCTGAATATCAGCGTGGTGCCCATTCCCTTGGGACTCTCCAAACCCGCTGTCTTCTTCACTACACTACTTAGCACCTCCTTCTGGAGCCCTTCTCCAGGGCCAGGCCCTAAGATAGGCTACAGCCATTCACCGCTCCCCACCTCCCCCTGGGGCCTGCTCCAGGCGGCTCCACACCACACTCACATTGTCTTCTAAAAACCGCATGTATTCCCGGCCAAATGTCCCATCTGGCAGCCCCCGGAGCCCCGCCACATCCAGGGTGGACAGCCGGATCCGTGGCCGCTCTCTGCAAGGGAAATGGGCCGAGACACCCCTTGCAGGAACAGACTGCTGGGAGAAGCTGATGTAACTGGGGCCTGTGCAGCAGCATTGCTGGAAGCACCATCCAGACCCTGGCATTTGGTTGCTGCTTTTCACTACCCGAATAACCATCTATCCCCCGGGGGTGGGAGGTTGACCATCAGCTCCATCTCACTTCTGTGGAGCTTGGGTGCAGAGAGCTTAAGACTCTGCCTGAGGCGATGAGCCTTGACAGCAGGCTTGATGCCCAGCTGCACTTTTTCAGCCCTATTAGTTGGTACATGTGCGGTGGGAACACCCAGTGGCCTCAATCAGCATCACGATTGTGCTGCTCTGAGCGTCACAAACCTAGCGAGAGGTGGCCCTTGCTTCCAGCGTAATGAAAATGCCATGGGAAGAACAAGCATAACAAACACTCAGGAGGGGCAGGGAAGGGGGGACAAACACGCAGGAGGAATAACAAGTATTTGGCCCTTGAAGCAAGGTGACTGCCTCCTGGCTTTTAGCCTCACTCCCAGCAGTTTCCTGCAAGCACCAGGGCAGAAATGACTCTGGAGGAGGGTGCTCAAACCACTTTGGGAGGGTGTTTTCAGGTACGGTGCTCGTGGGAGAAGCAGATGACTGTGATTGAGGCTGTGGTGCAATAAGATTTGCTGCTCTCGTGCCCTGCTCTGGTGGGGAGGTCACAGACATGTGCTCCAGCACTCCTTGAAAGAGGAAGTTTGCCAGTAAGAGCAGCAAAGCTGGAACGAGAGGCAGGAAGAAGCAAAGGTTGTGCATTAATAGGAGCCCAATTTACTGTTACTGTCTGTGCCTTTGCCAAGAAGGCTCTTACAGATGTCAGGGAGCAGAAGTACCCGGGGGAATTCAAAACTACCCATCCTGCCTCTTCAAGGACAAGCACTGCCACACCAGACACTGGCCCAGCAACCTCCCAAACGCGCCTGCTTCCCTGCCACAGACTGCGCAAGAGAGAGGATAACGCACCGCAGGATCTGATAACCCTCAGCATCATGTCTCATCTTGTCCCGCAGCCTCTGCAGGGCGAGGGAACCCGTTGTCTCACCAAGAACTGCCACCATATCTGGGAAAGGAGGGATGAGACGTCCACAAGAACACACCAAGGCAAGAGCCGGGGGCAACTCGCGCGGTGGACAAGAGCCCGAGGCCTCGGGGCGGCAGGGCCGACGTGGTCGATACGCGGGTCAGCGCCGCGTCTGGGCACCTGCTGCTGCTCGCAGCGTCCCCGGGGCGGGGCTCCCTGCTCCTCGCCCGGCCTGCCCCGGCCCCTCCGGCACCCCACGCCTCCAGGCCGATCGCCCCTGCCTGCCCTGCCCAGCCCCGCCCCTCCCCGGGGAGCCCGGCCTTACCATGCCGGTAGGGGTCGCGGAGGGCGGCGAACGCGGAGCCGGCCGCCAGCAGCGCCTTCTGCAGGGGGCTGGTGGGCACGTGGCCGGGGTACAGCGGGCCTGCAAAGGAAGGGAGACGGCAGTTGGCGGCGGAGCAGCCCGGGGCAGGGGGCGAGGCGCCTGCCCGACGCTAAGACCCGGGGCGGGGGGGAGGCCTTACCTGCGAGCCCCGAGCCCCGCAGCAGCCCCGCGCACCAGGCAGCCATGTCCGCCCCGGACGGGAGGGCGAAAGGGTCAAAACACCGGGCCGCCTTCCGGCACAGCTCCGCGCCTTGTTGCCGGGGGACCGTATTCCACGATGCACACTGCGGCCGGAAGCGCATATCGGCCACCACACAGGAAGAGTGGTGGGACCTCATTCCCCGACGGATCTGGAGGGGGTGATGGCGCTGCACGGGCTCTTCGCCGTGTACAAGCCCGCCGGCGTGGCCTGGCCGCGCGTGCGGGACGCCGTGGAAACCCGGCTGCTGGCGGGTGAGGCCGCGGGATCTCGAAGAGAAGCGTGGTTGTCTGTCCCGGGGCGGGGCCCAGCCGCGCCTCCGAGGGGCTGACAGCAGCATCCGGCCTTTTCTTCCCGTCCCTCCAGGCCTGAACTCGCTGCAGCAGCGGCCCCCGCGGCAGCACGTGCGCTTCCTGCCGGGCTTCGTGGAAGGAGAGGCGGACAAGGAGCTGACCCTGGTACCCACCTACCTGCCCGTGCTGGCCGACCACCTGCTGGGTAAGGCGGGGGGAAGGGCCTTGGGATGGCAGGCAGCTGCCGTGGTGGTGGCGGCGAGCTAACTCCAGTGGGACTCGGCAACTGGTGCCTACTGGTCACGTGCTCCAAGGGGATAAAACCAGCGCGTGTTTGTGTCACCGAGAAGCTGGAGGAAGAGCGAGAGTGCGCTGGAAAGATTCAGGATTTCGACTCCATTTTAATGATTTGCTAGAGAGGCTCTGCTTTGGGTACTGCACAGCTGTAAGATTTAGACCAAGGAAATTAAATTGCTTTGAAAGCTTGGGTTTTGTCTTCTGCCATCATGCTGGTTAATCAGAAAGTCCAGCTATATTTCTGGTGGGGAAACTAAATTTTAGGCATGTTATCAAACATACAATGCATTTGTTGTCTTTATAGTGAAAGGACCGAGGTTCCCTCGCTTGAAAGTTGGAGCAGGCCACCGGCTGGATGTAAAGTCTTCTGGAGTGTTTGGTAGGTTTTGTCTTGAAAGAGAGAGAAACATATTTTCGGTATGGAATCTGGAAGTATAGGAAAGAGTTTTGTTTCTGTTTGTTCTATACGTAGCTAGGAAAGAATTGCAGAGCACTCTGCTGGCAGCATGTGTGGATTCTGTTGGGCCAGGGCAAGGATGTAAGCCCTAGATTACAAGAGAAACAGACAAATCAAATGCAATTGTTTTGGAAGGATGAGACATTACAAGGGAGAGAGAACCGACTAGTTATTCTCAGAGAAGCCACGTGCCTGGAGGACACTGTGTTCTACTACAATGAAAAGCCTCTAGTCTGTCTTGGCTCTATACACTAGCCCATTGTGTCTGTTTCCCTGTCTGTGAAATGAGTACAATGATGGTGCCCTTCCTTGGTAAGGTGCTTTGAAGGCTACAAGTGAGAAGCACTAAATACAACTGGGTGCTTGTGGCAATCAGAACACCTGATGTTTGTTTGATGGCAACTCTCAGCCATAAAAGGAGAGGTTAAAAAAAACTGATGATGAGTTTTGGGGACACAGATATATTGCTGTCTAATTTGGAAAATGAGTGTATGGGGCTGTAGACAAATGTTTAAATCCAAATAAGTTTTAAATATGAAAAGTGGTTTCCAATTTTGTCTTTCTTTCAGTGCTTGGAGTGGGCCAGGGGTGCAGGATGCTCACAGACATGTACAATGCCCATTTTACTAAGGTATGCAGTGCAATGCAATGCAAACTGGGCTTGAAGTGGGGATATGTGAGAGTGATGATTCAGAGTGGTGATCCAAGGCCTAGTTAGAAATTGCATCAAAAAAGAAGAGTCACAAATCATATTGCAAGTGGGCCAATAGCATGCACAGCTATGAACAGCACAAATCACTGAGATTAAGCAGTATTCAGTATCCATTAAGCAGATTAAATGGTATTCAGCATCCATTTCTGCCCCCCAAAGGATGCCTGGAAGAACTGGTAATAGGATACAGGGGGTTTTTTACCTCTAAATCAATACTGTGAATCTTGCCTGGATCAGGATTGTGAAAATAAATGCCCTTTTTTTTACATAAGCTTCCAGATTGGCCAGCTGGGCCTTGTTCTTTCCTAGTGGGGAGGGAGACATCCATGTCTTTCAAACCATCCAATCTGGCCTATTTTGTCAGTAGTCATGGCAGAGAAGCCATGCTTGGAATTTACTATGGAGAGTTAACTCATTTCTTACTCCTAGAGGCAATTTCTCCAGTTCAGAGCTGAGACACGCAAACAATTAGCTTTTCCTCTCTGTGTTTTTCCACAGGTGAGGCATTAGGGTGTTTCAGTATGTCTTCCAGCCTTATGCAGTGCAGGTGTGGATGCCACAGTGAAGAAGAGACATTGGCTTTTAACCCTTGTGCTCCTACCAGGACTACTACTGAAATACCAGTGCTAGCAGGTGTGAGCAGACAAGGCCAGAGGCATGTGTTGGCTGGGGAGAGGGGAAAACAATCTGTCTTGTTGCACATGCCGTTGCCATTCTTGGCAACCTCCAGGTCTGACCATCTGGTTCCTTTCACCAGCACTAAATAAATTTGCAAGTGCACAGAGTGTGAAACCCCGGCCCTGCCTTCAGTACAGCTATGCATGTTTGTACGTGACTGTGTCCAAACCATGCAAAGATGTGGCATATTCCTGCCCATGTGGACAAAGCATTATCCTAGGAGCAGGATGAGAACTAAGTTGACTAAATAGGAAGATACTGTGTAGTGGCCTTTATAAACACAGTAAGGAGACAGGCATGGTTGTGTATGCAGGTGTCCTAGAAATACTGTGGTGTGAGAGAGACAAGAAATATGCAAGCTGTATTGTGTTTTCAAATTGGAGTGTGCAGACCACTCACCATTCCCATTTGTCTGTATATCTGTCTGATTCATCATGACAGATCAGTGGGGCAGGGGATGTTTTACAGGTTTGTACAGAGCATAGCACAAATGGGGCCCTAAGCATGACTGGGGGCCTTCAGGCAGTTACTGCAGGATAACCAATAGTAATGATTATGCTCCTTGTCAGCTCTGCAATGAGATAGTGGTTCTGGGGACTTGAGGCTGGAGATCAAGAACAAATAGGAGTTTTACAAGTCTGTGCCTCAAAGGACACCACAGGAGCTTTTAAAAAAAAAAAAAAAGCTATATGTGTTCCAAGCCAGACAGAAAACAGCTCAAGATCCTCAGAGAAAAGTCGGGAGGTTGTGCTACTGGCACAAGGTTTAATGCCTACCTGTGACTTGCTGAGGCAACTGTCAGCTGCCGTGCCTGACATCACGCTTATGTTTCAAACAAAAAGCACTGGTGCTTTCTAAAGCCATTAGCGACTCATCTGAGTAGAGAGGTGCCCCTTGCCCTGTGAATGTTCTGGCAATACTCTCTGTTCAGAGGCTGCTGGTTTCCTTCAGAGGAGTTCTTTGTGTCCTGCATTACCGAACAATTTCTGCACAGTAGGGTGTTGCTACTCAGTGCCTTTCAGAGTGTTCCCTCTGTAAATTGCTTGCTCTTTTTTTTTTTTTTTTCTTCTTTCAAGGATTACACTGTTCGTGGTCTGTTTGGCAAAGCCACAGGTGACTTCTCCGATACAGGAAAGCTAATAGAGAAGACAACGTTTGGTAAGGGACTTGGTTGGTGTGGTTTTAAAAAGTCAATAATTAGAACGCAAAGCATTAAACCAGGCCAGATTGAGCAGCATTAAAAGAACACTTTAAGTACCCTCTAATCTATATTCATGAGGATTTGCTGTAACTCCTGTTCTGTCTTACCACAAACCTATTAGCCTATAGTATACTCAATGCAATTACTATATAACACCAATTTACAATCCTGATCATGCAGACTGCCATCGTATTGGCTGCAGCCAATGTTGCCTGTGCTCAAGGAGGCATAGCATCCTGACTTATGGAGTAACTGTCATACATCTTCATAAAGACTTTCATTAAACAAATTCCTGAAACATCTTGGAGAAATTGCTGTCACTGTCTTGAAACTAATGCAGTCTCTTTTCCACCTGAGACTTCTTTGCTTTAAAAAACTGCATAAAGTCAGTGGGGTCCGTTTCCTGTGCTTCTGTACTCGGCTACAGTATGGCTATATGTCTCCTGGGCTTCCCACCAGCTCATTTAGATGTAACCACTCAATCAGGAGACTGCATTTTTGTTACTGCATTTCAGACCAATGTAACCTTTCCAGATGCTAGGTGAATAAATAGGGATTTGTTTCCCTCTTAACACTTACAGATCACATCAACAGAGAAATGCTGGAAAAGATTCTTGCTGTCATTCAGGGAAGCAATCGTAAAGCTCTAGTGACGTACGTATCCAATCAGAAACCCTGGCTGACCTGACCTGACTTCAGTGCTGCCATTTGCTAATCTTTGGAACCAGTAAGATTAGTTATCTTGCAGTAGCCAGTGATTGTAAAGGTTGGGATCTTAGATCAAAATAGAGGAGAGTTATCTTGGCTTCTTCATCCTTGGAAGTAAAGCTGTGACTAAAGACTTACTTTGGATTCTGAAGTTTCATGTTACCTTTGGACCTATGCTTAATATCTTGGAGAATAAAGATCTTCTCTGATACAGTAATGGTATTATAAGATGATCAGGCACGTTTACAGGATTGAAAAGGGTGGGGATGAGAATTGAAATTGTAGTGAGTGAACAGATCTTTAGTCTGAAGTGTGAATATAGCATTTTTGTCTTATAGAATTCATTGGGCCTGTGGTGTTAGTTCTCTGCACTAATGCATTGCTGTGTTTTTTTGTTTTTTTTTCCCAGGCACGCTAACATTGACCTGAAAACCCAAGAGGCCTATGAGCTGGCAGTTAAAGGGTTACTTCGCCCTATGCAGAAAAGCCCTCCATTAATTACAGCGATTCGCTGCCTTGAGTTTGCTCCTCCAGAATTCCAACTAGGTAGGGATGATTTCAGGGTCTATACGTGCCATGAAAGTATTATATCATGAATCTGACAAGAAGCAGCTCCTCTCAACACTTAGCTACTCTTAAGTGGCCTGATCTCACCAGTGCATTTTGTAATCAAGCTGCTAGCAGAGATGGGTCTGTTAGAGCAGCCTATTCTGTACCAGCTGGTTACTCAACAGAAAGAATGAACATCATCTTGGTAAATGGCCAGGATCAAGGCAGTTTGGCAGGGCACAGTGGGGAAGTTTGTCCAATATTTGCCTGATAGGAATAACTGCTATACTGGATCAGACCAGTAGGCCTCCTAGTCTGGTATTCTGTCCCTGATGGTAGCCAGTGCTGGAAGTTTCAGCAGACAGTGCAAGTGGGTGAATAATGGACTACCATGCCCAAGCAGAAAGATCCCCTTTCATCCACCACTTAGTGCAGCACCCCCACTGTGTTAACCTTTGTAAACTGAGCCTGCCTTCACCCCTTTGCCTCCCTGCCCCGGGTGATTAATGGTGACCTTCACCATTCTTAATCTATACATTGTCTAACTATTCCTTTAGTGCAGTCCACCTCAGGCACTGCTGAGGTAGTGCTTAGCTTATGCCGTAAACTTATATTCTTATAAACCTTTATCCTGCCCACCTTATTCTGAAAAGCTTCTCCCACCCTGGTATCCAGTTCTGCACTATATGCCCCTCTACCTCATACTTGGAGACTTGGGATATTTTGCAAGACATCTGCAAAACTATCATTTATTTATCCCTCAGCTGAAAAAAATGGAAGTGCGTAGTTGCATGTATTTGCTGCCTCTTCTGATGAAGTGTCTGTGTCCCTTGTAGAAATCCAGTGCTTGCACGAGACTCAGCAGTACCTCCGAAAGATAGTTCATGAAATTGGCTTGGAGCTGAAGTCAGCTGCTGTGTGCACACAAGTGCGAAGGACCCGGGATGGCTTCTTCACACTGGACAAGGCTCTCCTGAGAACACATTGGGACCTGGAGAATATCCAGAAAGCAATTCAAGACTCCAGGCTCACAGTGAAAACAGAACTTGAGAAAAGTTTAGGCTACCTGGAAAGGACTGCTTATGATGAACATATCGAGATGGACCAGGTTGAAGAGAGCGAAGCATCAAGATAGCGCAGTGTTTGGGGGACACCTGCCAGCAGCCTCTCATAAACAGGATAGCCATGTGTTAACCAGAAAGTTGGACAATAATAGATAGGAAAGAGAGTAATCCACAACTAGCCTTTCTTTGGGTGGCCCTTAGCTTAGCAGGAGTTGTTTGTTTTCATCCAACATGTCTCCCTTGAGAGGCAAAATATTTTCTTCTAAAGTGTTGCACAACAGTAGAGTGAGATCACTGACATCTAAGATAGCTCTGCATTTACTTCCAAAGCCAACCCCCCTGCTGATGTTGCTGGGAAGGTTCTGTTGGTAAGGACTGATAGAGTGGAAATACAACCAGTGTGTTGCAGGCTGTGTTGCTTCTACTGCATGCTTATTTTATTTTGCTCTTTGTAATGAGAAGTGCAGCCTAGCCATAGGAATTCTTTCCCCAAATAAAAAGGTTTTGTATGATAACATGAAAATAGGGCTGATCTATACCCTATGTTGAAGGTGTAAAGAGCTATTGATCAAACCAAAAAATGAACCTGTGCAAGGAAGATGTAAGATTTGAGTGAGGCAAAACTATTTCCTAGGAAGGGGAATGCTTCATTTGGCTTCGCTAATCTCAACAAGAGGCCGAGGTAAACTTGTGCTAAGGGATTAAGGAGTAGGATGTAAAAGCAAGAAATAGGCTGGAAGAAATTAAGATTCAGTGCAAAATATTTATGGGGAAAGATGCTGCTCCTTGGCACCAACATTTTAAAATGAACAGAACCAAAAATCCCTGCGATTCCCAACATCTTGTGGATTTATCCTGCCCTACTGAGTTAACAGAATGGTCAGTATAACACAGCTATACAAATTAGCTGACAGAGGTGTGACCACTTTAAGGCTACAACTTACTTTTGAAAATGCACCATAAATTGCCTGTTACATTTGATCACTGGTAATGCATTCCTAAAACATGCAGATCCAAGCATAATGCCAGACGTACTAAAGCAGCTGCAGTCTGAAGTCTCAGAATGCCAATTGCTGTAGTATACAAGTGTGGATGTTTTTGATGTAAGGAAAGGCTGATGTGAGGGGGTGGGCATTAATAACAACATCCCACTTTAGATTTGCCACTGTTTTTTCAAGATTATGTCCTAACAGGCACCTAGTGACTGCAGACTTGCATGCAAGCAATACAGGATTTCTGCTACTAGAAAAGATTCTGCCTTTACCTCTTTTAAGCTCTGCCTGGGGCACTTGTAGATACAATTCTTTCTTTGAAGATATACCCAGACAGCTGTTAAAGGTGAGATGTTACTCTGTGGTCTCACAATGGATAATCCCCGGTGAAGCAAGTGTTTAACAGTGATGGCTGATCTTGTTTCTGTGTTTATTTTTTTAAAGGAATTTTAACTAAATCCATAGATCTTTTGCCCTTTTTTAGCTACCTCCAAGGTTCTCTGGATAATAATCAGAAGCCCAGCCAAAGCAGTACTAGGGCTGTCCTGCCACCTTGTGGTGAAAGAGCATAAACACTTCTCTGGAACAGCTGGTGTGAATTCACTAAAACTGCTAGTGTATTTGCTCTTATTCCTTGTTATTAGGCAGTTGCAGGAGTTTGTGACAGTTAGACCTTATCATCCCTTGGGGTGCTCTGGTGAACAGTCATTCCCCCAGATCCTGATACACACCCCTGATGTACTTATAGGCTGCTACCAAGTCACCCCTGAGCCTGTGCTTTTCCTGGCTGAAGAGTCCCATTGCTCAGAGCCTCTTTATCTGCTCACTAGAGACCACTTCCCTCCAGAGCCCAGCATGGAAATCAGGATCCTCAAGTATTACATAATCACCAGGGATCCAGGTTTTGTTTCATGCAGAAAAATATGTATTTTTCCCTTTAAAAACAGGAAACTGGTGGCAGGGGGCAGCAGGCAAGTGTGGCCAAGCCACTTGGGGATGCTGCCCAGCTGCAGAGCAGTGGCTTCCCCTCACCCCCACCAGCAGGGGCTTGGATCCTCTTGTGCCCAGATCCCACTGCTATGAGAAGGGAGGGGACAGGCCTCCCAGAAGTGTTCGGTGGATCCTTCCTGCCACAGCACCAAGAATCTCAGCCATGCAATGGGTCTCCTTGGCGCCCCTGCAACGGCAAGTCCCAGACAGGGCAACGGGCTCCCTGTCCCTTCTACCATGCTTGTGCCACTGCAGCCCAAACCTGGTAGTATCCTCTGCACTCCAGGGCCAGGCCCTCCCCAGCTTGCCCCAGGGGGAGGGGGTCTAGTCCCAGCAGGGCAACAGGTCAGGAGTGAGGGGCATTGGCAAAGCAAGGGGGGAGGATGACTGGCTTAGGAGTGAGAGCCAATGGCATGGGCAGGGCACTGGCTTATTAGAGCTACTCAGCACTACAAAGCAGCAGGAGAGATGGCTACAGCTGGCCCCATGGCCTGGTAAGCAAAGAAGGCAGGGGGAGCTCCAATTTCCTATGATCAAAAACCAAAATATACAGGTATGTAAAAATTTTCACAATCGTTAAGGCATCAGTAGGCTTCCAAATTACTTTAAAACTAAATTTATCAATAAAACATTGTATTCAACTGATACCTATATAGAGTGGCATTTCATTTTAATCATGGAAAACTTGGATTTTAATCAGAGAGTTTTGGGGGTTTTATCAGAGAAAACTAAGATCCCTGGATCGTATGACTTTTCCGCAGGACTCCATCCATGGAGTTTAGGTCCCTAGCAGAGTGCATAGGCAGAAGCGGAAAGCATCAAGGTAACAGGAAAAAATGCCAAAACGTAACGTTATCAACTCTAATACCCTACTTTGTAGCCTTAATGTTCTCTGCTATAAGTTTTGCTCATCTCAAGATGCTGCTGAAGTTAGCTGCAACACCTGGAAATCAGGAGAGGGTGTCTCCCTGTGTCCACTGTTGCCTGTACCTGGCTGCATTGGTGCTAATACTGACCACCTTGCTGCCTCTCAGGAAGTGTCTGTCTACAAGTTAGTTCACTATCAGGGAACATGATAGCATTCTCCTTAGCATCTCTACAAGCTAGTAAAGGGAGTGGCTGAGAAACAAGAGCCAACTTATTCAGATTAGATACCGTAACACAAGTTCAGGCTTTTCCATTTATTTAATATTACGAATAACGCACAACCTTAACCGCCTTCTAGAACCCAATCCAGTGGGACACTTAAGAGGCTGAACACCCACAACACCATGAGGGTGAGGCCTACAAGCACATCACTCTCAGCAGGTCATTTCCTACTTAGTGGTTTTTTAACCTGTCACACTGCATGTTCCCCCAGTCCTTCTGGCCTTTCATCTGCCCACTTAACTGCTGTCTCATTCCATCCTCCCAGTAACCCTTGTCACATTGTCCAGATGTGAGGGTCAGCTGGGAAAGGGGTTAAACATGAACTCTGAATTACAATCTTCCGTAGGTGTTTTTTTTTTTAAACTCTCACCAAGAAGAGAAGTAAAAAACTGACATCACCCAAAACATCCAAACACCCTCATTCCAGAAAAGGAGGATGCACCTTCCCCGAAAACAGGTAATTAATTCAATAGCTTCTGTGTCCTAGAATTTAGTTATTCACAGATCTAAGGCAGTAGACAGCACTCTTGAAAGTCTACATGTTTATTGCCCTGGTGTACAGGTTCCGAATGTGTCAGTCACCCACATACAAAGCTCCAATGGCTGAAGGAAATTGTCCTCTATATCAATGCTAGTCACTGAGTTCTAGATCAAATTCAGGGTAGAGGTCCTTTGTGGTAAGTCCTCGGATCACAGCTAGGGGAGAGAGAGAGAGAGAGAGCGCGAGAATAAACACAGCTTCCACTGCAGAAGATGCAGGACAGGCAAGAGTTGCTAGTCTTTCATTACTTGAACAAAGAGTTGCAACAAGATGCAACTCCTAAGCCCTTGCCTTTGTTGGCTTCTTTAATAGCCATGCAGTTGGTGCAAAAGCATCATGCTTACACACCCTCCTGATTCCATTCCTAACCTGGAAGTCTTTTACAGGTCTTATGCAGTGAATACATAAGTCATAAGAGAAACACTGAGGGTTTCTATCTAATAGAGAAGGATCTGCTTTGAGAAGCCACAGAAAACAAACTGCCTTTAATGGCAATTACATAATACCCCCATTAGAATCAGACAGAGCGCAAATAGCTTCCTGCAGTTCTGCCCCTGCTCTGGAAAGATCCCAAAAGGGATGTGACAAAAATATTTTCTCCGAGAAAGGGATATAAGGTCATGCTAGAACTAATGATAAAAACTTAGTAGTGTAGCTTCTGTTAAACAAAATGAAAATACTTCCGAAAAACAAGCTGCTTGTTAGCGGTGTCCTGCCTTACCCAGCTTGCCCAGCAGCATCTGTCCAGCATCTTTAATATCATTGTACTCATGGAGCAGAGAGATGTGTTTCTCCAATTCATCCAGGCTGTAGCCTCTGTAACAACAAAACCAGAAAGGTCACACAGTTTCTGTGTAAGGTACTGCTTAGGTTTCACAATTTGTAACCCACAAAAGGCACAGCTGCCAGGAGTCAAGGGCAAGATGACCACAACTCTGCTTCACCATTGAGGATTCTAGGACCTTCGTCTCCTTTATACAACACCCTTCATTCCAAAGCTTTGCCCACCATTTACTCATCATGAAAATGCAGCTGTTTCTGGGGTTTAAAGTTGTGAGTTGCCGAGACAGCACATATCAGACCAAGTAGACAAGATGACTATGAGAAGGAAATTTAGGAAACGAACACATTTTACTTAAAATTGAAGTTTGGCCAAGACATAAAACGAGACCTGCATTTTAAGTCTCATCAAAAAGATGCTTTGAATAGCACAAAGCCCATCAGCAGCATGACAGGTAAGAACACCTCTTCATAAGCCACAAATATTCCTTCCCAAGACACAGGGCTTCCTTAAAAGTTCTCCCTCATGAACACTGCATGTCCCCAAAGGCTAGGGGGGCATAGCAAGCTCCTGCAGGTGACGGCAGTGGTGTTGGTGGTGGGAGCATGGCAACAGTGAGCAGCAAGCTCCTGCAGGTGGCTGCAGCAATGCCAGCAGGCAGGGTGAGGGTGGCAAGTGCCGACCACAGGTTGGCGACCACCTGCAGACACTGCCAGCAGTGTTGCCAGTGGCCAGCAGTGATCAAGGACTACCTCAGACGCTGCCAGCAGTATCAGCGGCAAGGGGGGGCAGGGATGAGTGGTGACTGCCTACAGGTGCCGCCAGCAGTATCAGTGGCGCTTTTTGCAAGGGGTACACCGCCAAGCTCGGGGTGCACATGCACCCCTTACACACCGCCAACACTCTCCCTCTCCAATACTGAAGAAGCACAGCCTTGCTTTGCCAAACAATAGACAAAATTCGTAGTTGTACTTTGTACTCGAATGCTGAAATTAACAGCGCTCTGAGCTAAGCAGACTGAGCTGATAAAGAAATATGAGAAAGCAACCAGCCTGAAAGAACCATTTGCAACTCTGAGGCAGAGGCTTGGTTTGGTTTTAAAAGGTAACACAGGCCTTGTGCCGAGCATCAAGCTAGTCAAGGACATACTCAGCCAATAACTGTGCAATTTCCTGGTCCAGAGCGAGGTCCTTCTCTTTCAGCTCTTTAATTTCACCCTGTAGGGTTTCCTTGTTGATTCCATCTGATGGAGAGGATCTTGGAGACTGGATCTGTAGGGCAAAGAGTATATTTAACATTTTATTAATTCAGCACTATGTAAGAAGCCACTGTCCCAGATGGAACTGATCAGAAGAGACAATAGGTGCCTGTTAGTTCATTCCTGAAGTATCACTTAAGTGAAAAAAATACTAGACCTTGCAGAAAAACTTGACAAAGCATTTATCAGTCTATGAAATGCCAGTCCATTCTGTGTAGTTTGTGAGCTCTTCCCAACGGAGGGGGGATCCTAGTCAGTATTTTGTACATTTACAACACTACATGAAGAATTGTAACAAACAATTTAGAAAAACAGCTTTCAGAGCATATGCACGGGACTACAGTATCCAGCATCTCAGGATACAGATATCTAGTAGCGCTTCAGTAAATTAACAGAAGTTTAGGCTGCATAAATTACTCAAGAGCAGGTCTCCTCTTGTCTGGATGACAGATCTGCTTGTTGCCTTAGTATTGTCACAGAGTTAAATTCTCTTCCCCGCCAGGGAAATCTCTACTGAATCAGATCCAAACCATTAGAAGTATTAGGATCACCTGCAGTTTCAGCTGAGAGCAATGACTACATATGCCATAATGACTGAATTATCACAAGAAACGGTTCTTCCAGGAGAGATGTGAAGCCTTTTAGACATAATAGTTGTTCATACCAAACTCACTCTGCAGACAACTTCCACAGGGCTGGCTACAAATGACAGACTGACACTGAGACTAAATTCATTTGGCAGTAATGGATTCTATGCAGATTCATTTCTGTACAAGGAGGGAGAGAGACTTTGGAGAAGTTTGTTGCTGCCACATGCCTGCATTATAGATGGCAAAACATCTGCATTCAACTATGGGCTTCATCGTGTGTGCAAGAGAAAGAAGTGGTCCGCGTAACCAACCAGCTTAGCTGCTGCCATGTAGGGGCAACAGCTGTCCATGCCAAACTCAGTCTGGGCTGGCTGAAAATGAGAATGACACTGAGAATGAATTTGTGTAGCAGCAAGACTCAATGCAGACTCCTTTCTGTACAAGGAGGAAGAGGCACTGGGGATGAAGGATGCCGCTGTCCTGCATCCGCACGCCAGATGGCAAAACGTCTGCACCGTACGAGGCTTGCTGTGCGCCTAGCGTAAGAGACAGACCGCAGAACCGACCACCGCAGCTGCCGTTATTCTCTAGGAGGCATCCAAACTGGGTCATCAGGGTGGATGAAAAGGCAGGTCCGCCCCGTGCCCGCTCCTATTCCCAGAGCACAACGGCCCAAGCGATGCAGCGCTCTGCCCGGGGCGCAGGGCCCGGCACTCACCGGCGATCGGAAGCCCGCATGGCAGCGGTCCTGGCGCCCGAGAGGGGCCCTGGGAACAAGAAGAAGGAAAGGGCGGTTTTCAAACGGGAGAAGATTGAAGGAGCCAGGCCGGACCCCCGTCTCCCTCCCCACCTCGAGAAGCAGCAGCTCCCCGGAGCGCACTGCACTGCACCACCCAGCGCAGCTGGGGCTCGCCGAGGGCCGGGCACCCGCCGAGCCCAGGGGAGGGAGCAGGGGCCCCAGCCGGCGCGGAGCCCTCGGGCCAGGGAGGGAGCTCGTACCGCCGCGGGAGGGGCTGCAGCGCCGCGCGGCGCTGCAGCCCCTCCCGCGGCGGTACGAGCTCCCTCCCTGGCCCGAGGGCTCCGCGCCGGCTGGGGCCCCTGCTCCCTCCCCTGGGCTCGGCGGGGGGCCGGCCCCCCGCCGAGCCCAGGGGAGGGAGCAGGGGCCCCAGCCGGCGCGGAGCCCTCGGGCCAGGGAGGGAGCTCGTACCGCCGCGGGAGGGGCTGCAGCGCCGCGCTGCGCTCCCCGGGCCCGCGGGGATCCAGGGCGGCCCGCGCGGTCTCCCCACCGCTTTGCATGCTGGGAGCGGCAGGGGCTGCTGGGACTTGTAGTTAATGGCCGCTTGACGCCTCTTTGAATGCCGGGAGCTGGTGGCCCGTCGCCGGGGGAGCCGAGTGCAGGGACTTGCAGGCTGTGGAGGCCTGGCGCCACTCGGGCTTGTAGTTTCTTGACCTTGCCTGGGGCTGGCAGGGACGGGGCGCAGAGGGTTTCTTGCAGCCTGTCTAGGGGCTGGCAGGCATGTTGGCCTGTTGAACCGCTGCCGGGGCCTGGATGCTCCTCTGGAAGAAGGGGGAGGCTCGAGCTTGCTCCTTCCCTGTCACTTGCGTTTGGGGATCCTGGAATAAGCGCGGGATGGAAGCAATGGGCTGGATTCAGGGGCGGATCTGGTGTGGAGGAGCAGTTGCACCCCCCTTCGATTTTTGCTGTACCCAAACTGTAACTGGGAGGGGCAGTGGCATTTTGGTTCAGGCAGCGCTGAGTTAATTGACTTCAGGGCTCATGATCATCTATCTGTTTCCTGCTAATGTCTCCTCATCACATTGGTGTGAACGACCTTTTTAATGGTCTTGATGTTCCACTGTGCACCCTATCCTTTCTTCTGCAATGCTGCAGTCTGGTTGCCATTCCTGGTCCTGCATATCTTTTATTTCACAGCGCTGTAGATTGGTTTTCGCTCTGGCTAAAAACCTTCCCTTCGGTGTGGTTAAATAATCTCAGGTGTAGACATGACCCCCCAGTGAAGTACTGGGGCACTGTCAAGGCACTCAAGAAAACCAGGTTTTGTTCAGTGAATCTAAATAAGACATGGACATTTAACTTTCAGGACTAATGAAAAAACATCTTTTAACCTTTTTTGCCTCATTTCTTGTGTTTTTTTTAAAGGGTTATATATAACACAGCAGATTAATGCACATTCCGATACAGATTTGTTTGTTTTCACTTTGATCTTAAACTGAAAAATAGAGCACAAGGCCCCTAGCAAACTAGTAAAACTTCTGGTTTCTCTTTAGCTGGAGAAAAATAGATGTTATAGGTGATGATGCAATGCACCATCTACACCCCCCTTTTTTAAATCCTAGATCCACCCCGGTTGTAATGGTGCAGTCCTTGTGATGTGTCCAGCACTACTACACTATGCATAACATGCACTGAAAGAGCCTCCTAGGAGAGTTTGGAGATGTAACCAGCCTGCATGCAATCTCTCCTAGCAGGGGGTATTAGATAGAAACCCTCACTGTTTGCCTTGTGACAAAAACCACATTGCCTGAGTACTACAGAACCAGCCAGCATCCAATCATCATGAGCGCAGGCAGAAACACTACACAGACTGCGATGGTCACACAGTCATGCAGATTTTTTCCATCTTTATCTTGCATGATCTTTATCTTGCATTCAGCTTCCTTTTATAAACAGCTCCCACTCCGATTTAATTTTGAAAAGGTCCTGTACTCTGCCATCTCTAAATCACCTTCAGTTAGCAAAATACACCAAAGATAAGATAAGGCCTGGTACTAGACATGTGACTGTGGCTGTTTGCACAACAGTTATTATCACAGAATCATAGATTTCATTGACATCAGGGCCGGAAGGGACCTTGGAAGATTATCGTGTCCAGCCCCCTGCCCGAGGGGCAGGAAGTCAGCTGGGGTCATAGGATCCCAGCAAGATAAGCATCCAAATTTCTCTTGAAGGTGTTCAATGTAGGTTCCTGAACCACCTCCAATGGCAGACTATTCCAGACCTTGGGGGCTCAAACAGAAAAGAAATTCTTCCTTATGTCCACCCTGAAACAGTCTTGCAGTAGTTTATAACCTTTTGACCTTGCCGTCACTTGGGGCACTCTGGTGAACAACCTTTCCCCCAGAACCTGGTGAACACCCCTGATAAACTTACAGGTGGCCATCAGATCGCCCCTGAGCCTGCGCTTTTCCAGGCTAAAGAGCCCCATAACTCTCAGCCTGTTGTCATAAGGTCTGTTTTCCTGACCTCCACATCCTTTTTCATAGAGCAGTAGGGCTGGGAAGCACCTCTAGAGGTCATCTAGTCCAGCCCCCTGCCTGAGGCAGGCTCAGCCCTATCCAAACCATCTATTTGAGTCCACTGTCTAACCTCTTATTTGTTCAGAGCTAAGATGTTATGTGAGTCTCACACAATGAAGTAGAAGATTTAAGATTTCTAAAGTGCAAGACACAAGAGTTACTTTTCAAAGTATGCAAAATCCTACTGACTGCTATTACAAATCAAGTTTAAAGTTAACATATTAAGGAAGAACAGGATCAAGAATGTAAAAGATGAGCTCTTAAACCCACCTGTACATGTTACTTGCTGCTCAGTGAATTCAGAGAGCTTTACAACATCCATTGATGTATAACTGGGAGAGAGACCCAGAAGCAATTAATTTATTAATCCTCCAAAACCATGCAACTTGTAGGAAGAAACACTTTGGGGGCCTATGCATCTGTTGTCTAACTCTTCAAGTCTACAGAGCTGGCATGAGCACAGCAGAAACAGATAAAGCTAGAAAATTACATCATAGTAGTCTGACAGCTCTTCAAGCATTTTTCTTGACACTTGAGACTTGTGTCAAGTGTTTATTCGTACACTTCAAAATTTGAGTTGCTCTAATAAAAAATACCAGATTTACCCAAAGAACCTTGTCTCCCTATGTCCTTAGACCAACACAGCTACAACCTATACCCGTTACAAATAACAATACTTATCATTTAGGTAGTACTAATCTTTGAGTGCTTGACAAACATTCCCTGCACAAATAATTAGTCTTCATAACACACAAGTGAAGCAGGATAAATCGATTGATATGAACATACTATTTGCTAGGTTCCCTGAGAAATTTTTAAACAAAAATCAAGACGACAACCTGTCCTGTGGTATCTATTTCATTTTTAAATTTCTCAAGGTTTAGAAAATATACCTGTATCCAAGCACTTTGTTTTTAAGGAAATTCATTTTTTGTAACTTATTGTATTCTACCAAAGTATTTCTATACTAGTACACCTCCCTGACCCGAGCTTGTAGGGATTTGGTGAGGAAGGCGAAAGCAGCACTGGAGCTTAGATTAGCTTCTGGCATTAAGGATAACAAAAAGCCCTTTTTCAAGTATATAGGTAGCAAGAAGTCTCAGGGTAACATTGGACCCCTACGAGGCAGGGCAGGGCAGTTGGTGACGGACGCGCAACAGAAGGCAGAACTCTTCAAGAAGTTGTTTGCCTCTGTGTTCCTGTCTGCTGAGAATAGAGTGCTCTCAGGTGACAGCGTAGAGAGGCCCAGGAAGGATGCGAGTCCCCCAACTGTTAGTTCAGACCTAGTTAAGGATTACCTGGAGGGCTTAGATGTGTTCAACTCAGCGGTCCCGGGTGACCTTCATCCGTGGGTGCTGAGGGAATTGGCTGGTGTCATTGCAGAGCCATTG